GAAAAAACCCCCCCAAAAAAAAAAAAAAAAAAAAAAAAAAAAAAAAAAAAAAAAAAAAAGCACATCATAACAATTTCTGTGCATGAAACAATCAAGATGAGAAAGAGAATATAGGAGACCTACTATTAGATAAACTGGTCAGCGTAGACCCTCTGAGGAAGTGATATTGGGCAGAAATTGGATGATTAAAAAGAAAACATTTTCATGGAAATTTTCAGAAGAAGTCTGTTCCAGGTGCAGGGAATAGCATGACTTAAGGTTGTGTGGTGGGAAGATGTTATTGACCTTAGTGACTTAACAAAAATGAGCACTGAAAGGAGTGGTGTGATTTGTTTGGAGAGAAATGTAATAGCATGTTGTCATCAAATTTTAAAGTCCTAAAAAATACTTTGGATTTTTGTCTAGGTAGATTTGAAAGTCTTTTTTTTTTTTTTTAAGTTTACTTATTTATTACTTGCATGAGAGAGTGTAGAGACAGACAGATAGACAGAGACAGGTACCTCAAGGAAGTCTTTAGTCTGCAGTCTCAGCCAACCCAGATCACGAGCATGCATATGTACACCCAGCTTGCTCAGGGAGGTCCCAGGACATGAATCCAGGACCTTTTGTTTGTGGGACAAGTTGTGTTACCACTGTACCACTACATGGCCCTGCAAGTCATTATTTTAAGGAAATAATAGAAGGATTGATAACACAGGATTCGTTTTTTTACTATTTCTGTTGTTGCTAAGAAGAAAATGGAATTAACCTTATGAGACTTCTGGGTTTCAAATGAGGGATGTAGATAGCTAGGGTAGCTGATGGGAGCAGATGTGAATGGAAGTGGTTGAATTTGATATACATGTTTGAGTACAGAGCAATAGGACTTAGTGTTAGATGACAAGCAGTGGGTAGAAAAAATAATGAATCAGGAATGATTTGTAAATTTCTGGTTTGAGCAAATGGGTAGATAGCAATTTCATTTCAAGATTTGAAGGGAAAAATAAGAAGTTCAGATTGAAGCAGCCTCCTGGATATAGCTACCAGGAGTTTACGTGAAATAGTTCAAATATAGCATATGCAAAATAGAATTGATCATTCCTCTTAACCAACCTCAATCTCAATTCCATTATTCTGGTTTTAGCTAATAATAACACATTTACTTAGACTGGAAAATACATTATTTTAAATCTTTTTTTTTTTTTTCTCATGGCCCTTTTCTTATCCAGCATGCTGGTTTACCCTGGCATTTTATAGATTCTACATTAAATGCCCTCAAATCCCTCTAGTCCTTCTGTGCACATTGCTCCTACTATACTCCCTTTAAGGGATTATTGACACAGTTGTGTATCTGTCTCCTGGGCACCAAACTCATTTCTCTCTAACACATCCTTTATCATGCAAATAGAGAAATTTGGCTCCAAAATTTATTTTGACCATTTCTGTCTATTGAATCTTTTTTGGTTTTCCAATGCCTATGGTTTTAAATATACAAACACTTTAGATCAGGATCCCACTTATGTCCTGGCCTCACTTTGTAGCTTTCCTCCATGGTTTTCCATAGCACTGTGTTGTTCTCTTTGCAATGAGTCTCATGCCTTTCTCTAGGTGCCACCATCACATTTAGGACACTTTCTTTGCACAAGATCTGAAATGGTCTTCATCCTCCTCTCCTTATAGCAAATTGACTTGGCTCAGGGGCCTGCTCCAGTGTTTTCTCCTTTGGGGATTCTTCCTGATATCTTCAGAGAGTGGAGCTTGATGGGCATCTAGTACAATCTTTTTGTTATAACATTTACTACATTTTGTAATGTGCCTGTTTATGTATCTATTTATATTGTCAGATCTACTTTTCTCAAAGCATGTTGACAGGGCCACTTATGTAAGAATCTCCTGAGATAATTAGTGAAAGATATAGATTTCTGACTTTTCTTTCATTCTCTCTATCAGAATCTTTGTTGGTAGAGCTTGAGACTCTCTATTTTAGTCATATATATATATATATATATCTGCTGAGCTTCAAAACTCACTATATTATATAAGTTGTTCAAGGGCAGGACCATATCGTATGTTTCCCTTGTCTCTACTTAATACACACAAGATGCTCAATATATGTTTCTTGAATGGATACTGATTTCGAACTAATATAGCATTTGTTTAACATACTATTATTTATTCAACACATAATTAACTCTAATTAGTACTGTTATTATTAACAAGTTGCCAACATTTTGGTTTTTCATTCATACTGTGTGAAGGGGTTTTTAAAACCCACATGATACAGCATTGCAAGAGAAAAAATAGATATTCATTCCTTCACATGATCTTAAAAATAAAAGCAAAATAGAAATACGAGCTTTGATCTCCACTTAGAAAAGATGTTTACAGTATTTTCTATGTCAGCCAACATGTGCACAAATAATATAGATGGAAATAATTATCTAAAATATTTGTAACAGGTATATGTGTCCAGAAAATTCACTGAGGGATAACCCTTCTCTAGAAGCAGAGGGCATTACAGGTCGCCCTTTGGATTACTATGAAATTTTATTTGCCTCTTCTCATTTCATTGGTACTTCTGTATTCATATTTTATAACAGTGTCCTCTGAGTCCATTTTTCCTTAATTATATTTCTTACTGAAAAACTTAAAGTCAAACAGAAGTGTTCCTCTTTCTCTCTGGGATTAGCATTTGCTTGACCCAGCTCTGGTCCAGGATTCTTAGTCTTCAGTCTTAGTCTTTAAGCCCATCCTAGTTTCCCATGCCTCCCCTATCTTTCTTCTCTTACTTGGGGCTATCTTCAGCCACTTTTCCCACACTTATGTAGCTGAATTCCAGGATGGTAAAAAATGACCAAGAAAGGTGATAATAGAGGCTGTAGGGAAAGTCTGACCTGCAGAGGAAAACTGGAATGAGAGACCCACGTCTAGAGATGGCCGAGGGAGAAGAGTGATTCCTGTAAGAACAGGAAGGGCATCTTGTGCTGCAGGGCTTCTGGGAATAATGCCGTAGAAACAAGAAGCTAGGGTAGAGAAGAGGTGCAGAGGCAGGGCATGAGTATCACCTTCCCAACAAGAAAATTAACTTGCCAGTCAACTACACCAGAATCAGTGAAATCTATAACAGAATAGAAAATCATTATATAAAATATAAATATATGTAGAATATAAAATGTATTATATAACCTACATGGCAGCCCCTAAAAATGCGTTTTCAGTCATTTTGATTGAAAGAAATACCTATGGGCTCAAATTTTTTTCTATGCATAAGAAGATAAATAGCACTAAGATCTCAACAAAATATTCAGGATGACAAAACTGTTCTTCAAGACTCCAGCATCTCTGTTCCCTTTTTCATTTCCCTCATAATATATTCCATATGCTGCTTTATGAATTCAGGCCCTTCCTAATTCTTATCAACCTGGGAAGATTAAAAAATAGGAAGACAGCTATCTATTACCTTGGACAAATCAAGTAACCAACTCACTGACAAGAATCTCCAACTCTTGAGTGTGCAGGCAAAAAGGTTTTATTTAAAATAACACCAACCAAAATCTCTCCTACCTATAACTGCCTGGAATTCTAATAGAAAACACAATTTTGCTGTACAAAAAGCACTGAAATCATGGAGAAAGATGACAGTACTCAAGTAAGGATGGAAAATAACCCCTTGAATTACAGTTATGCATGTTTAATCATATCTTCCATGAGCAAGAGAGAGAAAAAGAGAAAGAGAGAGAGAGAGACAGCAACCTCAACAAGACCTTGATGCTGACATGTACCTCCAGTCTTCAGCAAGTCCTGGATCACAGGCAAGCATGCATGCATCCAGAGTGTGGAGGAGTCGACTTGAATCTGGACTTGAATGAACAACCTTCTCATGTGAGATTTTCTTGCATAACTTAGTGTTTTACCAGTGTGCCATGGTTTGGCCCTTGATTCATATTTTTAAGTCAAAGTTTTAATCTAATGGTTTTTCAGTCTTAATAGTAGAAGTGACCCAGACCTAGTCACCAGTAATCTAATTATTCTAAAAATATTCTAGTTATTAAAGAGATTAAAAACAGTAGATTACTGGTTAGATTACTGTGGCCAATCGAAACATCTGGATAACCAACTTGATAGTTCTCATTCACTTAAAATGGTTGAGTGTTCTTAGATTAATCATTTCAGATTGTTCTTACAAGAGCATGGGTGGCAGAGTGGTAAAAAAGGATGCTCTGTGAGGCGGACCCACATGGGAAAACTTCTGGTTGGAGTCCAGAGACCTCCCTGAGTGTGACAACCCTATTTGTGCTCATATCAAGGTGTGTCTGAGGCTGGGGCTGAATTGTGGTGGTAGGGCTCCGTGGAGTACTGTTTTCCTGTCGCTTCCTCACTCTCTTGTCTCTCATGCTCTTGAAAGTGATAAATAAATAAACTTTTTAAAAAGGAGTGGGGCACCTGAGGTTTAGATTTTCCTTATATTGATTGCATGCGACTTACAAAGAAAAGCATGAAGATTGAACTTCATATCATTCATTAAATAAATACTTATCAAAGGTCTAGAATTCAAGCCTTGGGTATGATAGTGAACAGAAAAAAAAAATCACAACTCTCAAGGAACTTATATTCTAGTGAGGAGACAATAAACAAAACGAACGATAGTGAATAGCATCAGGTGGTGATAAATACCTTGAAGGAAAGGGGGAAAAAGCAGGAGTTGGAAATGGAGAGAGCAAGGGTTGAAATCTGAGAGGTCAGAGAAGGCCTAAAAAGGTGGCATGGAAACAAGGCCAAAAGGAGATAAAGAGTGAATCATGTTGCTGTCTACAAGGAAGACGATTTTATGCGGAAGAAACGAACAGTACAAGAGCCCTAAGGTGAGATGTGCTTGGAATGTTCAAGGAATAGTTGAGTGAAGTAGTACAGAAAATGGTAAAATTCAAAGCAGTACCAGGGGCCTAGTAAACATTGTAGACTTTTTCTTTTATTTGGAATGAAATGAGAAGCAATTGGAGGTTTATAAACAGGAGATAAGATCTGACTTGTATTTTTAAATGATTACTTGACCGTTGAGAATAGTGCATTAGTGAGTAAAGGGCTGACTCAGGGAGCTCAGAGTTAAGGGACTGTCTTAGTCTGTCCAGACTGCTATAACAAAATACTATACACTGGGTATCTTGTAAATAGACAGTTATATTTTACATTTCAGGGGGCTGAGAAGGCCAAGACAAAGACACGGGCAGATTTAGTGCCTGGCAAGGGTCCACTTCCTAGTCCTTTCTGCCATCTTTCCTGGTGAAAGGGGCAAGGGAACTCTGTGGGGTCTTGTTTACTAAAGAACTAATCCTGCCTGGAATGAGTTTAAAAGAGGAAGGTTGCCAGAGAAAAAAAAAAGACACTTTCTTTTATTTTTTTAAGATGGGAAGAATAATACTTTTATAAACTGGTAGGCCTATTCTAACAGCAAAGGAAAAATTAATCTTCCAGTGGAGAGTAAGGAAAAAAAATACTGTATCTAATGTGTAGATGGAAGAAACATAGGTCCTATTAACAAGAAAGACAAGTGGAGTTTATAGGCACCACTTTAATAGATGAGTTAAATGTAGTGATGGAAGCTTCTGGATTTTCTGTTCTGATTACTTTGATTTTTCCTTGAGTAAATTAGAAAGCAAGATTATTATATGTGATTGAAGAAGGGGGTAGAGAGCAGAAGAGGATTTAGGAAGAGGAGAAGCTGTGAAATGATCCTCCTAGAGAGTAAGAGAGTGAGCAGAGCAAGGACCAGGAACTGTTTGAGGATAATGGTTAAGTACCATGTGGGTTTTTCCTTAGTCATATTCAGCTGCAGTAGTACAGATAAGGAATAAATGGGGAGTTAGAACTAACTGTGACTGAAGTTCTTAGTTGCTCTCCTGATAAAGAAATAGAGGGGGAAAGAAAACCAGAATATATACAAGTGTAGGTATCCTAACAATGGACAGTGCCATTTAACTAGCGTACAGAAGGAATTACGAATCCTAGAGGGGTGAGAGGTTGTTACAAAGTGGCATGGTGAAGACCAGCAGGTGGTGTAGTGGTTAAGGCACTGAACTATCATGACTGACTATGGTTCCAGTCCAGGATGCAGAGGATTGAAACTCATGCTGGGTACATGTGCATGTGTGCCCAAAATCCCAGGAGGAGAATGGAGGAGAAGGGATTGCAGCATGGCCATCCCCCATGAGGGGGTGATTTTTCACTTTGTCTCTCTGTCTCTCCAGAAAATGTCTGCTCCCTTTAGCAAACATCTCTCTAAAACAATAAATTAAAAAATTGTGGCATGATCCAGTGATGTCCAAGGAATATTGCAGTCATGGTTCTAGAGGAAATGAATTATTTGTAAAAGTAAAAAAACAACAGTCTTAGAGGACATGCTTGAAATTGAAAGGAGGTCAAAGAACTAGGATGAAGAAATTAGAAAGATCGTCTATGTGGATATTGAAATTTGTCAAGGGTTATGATAGGAGTAGCATTGAGGAGAATGCCAACAACCAAACCCAGTCTCCAAGGATCTTGTTTTGGAGGTTAAAATGTTTGGAAGAGAGTGGAAACTGCATTCTGTTTATGTTTTTATTAGTCTAAATCTGTCTCGAAACTTTTCACACACACTGACATTGAGACAATCTTTCTTTTTTTTCCCCCTTATCCCACTTTCTCTCTTTTCTCTACATACACTGATTCTAAAAGTTCAAGAAAATGTCCCTATTTCTAATCCTTACTTTCCCAATCTCTTGATGCTTCTTTTGTTTGTTTGTTTGTTTTGGTAACATATTTCCTAACACTCTAATACTCTTTGCCCCTTTTTCTCCATAATTCTTCTGTCCATGTCTCAAGACTTATTAACAGGAAAGTGCAGTTTAGGGTGATCAAAACCAGGAAGAGGGTTAGGGCCTGAGATAAGAAATGTGAGAGGACAGTGGGGCAGATGTATCTAATTTGTGCCATCTCCTAAAGCCTGTTCTTCAGTTTCCCACCAAGCTCTGTGCAGACATGGTCATGGTGGGTTTACATCTTACACGTGGTGGAAAGTTGCATGCACGAGGCTCAATATCAAAGCATTACCTGAATAGATACAAAATGCTCTGTGATGTGTGCAAGTGGGTAGAGTAAATCTGATTACACATTCTGAAAATGTACTCGAGCTTCTAAAATGGATGCCTTTCTACAGAATAGCAGCAATAATGATGATTACTCTGGCATCTACTGCAGTAACAACAAATGAAAAATTAGCTCCTTTCATGTCTGAATTGAGTCCTTAGACTTTTGACTGCAACATAACACTGCTTAATAATCAGTAAAACCTATTATTATCTACCTTACCCGCAGTTTGTATAGCATGGAAATGAGCATTTAAAAATATTTAGAGTATAGACAGTGACCCTAATTGCAAAAGATTATTTTATGAGACGACATAAGAGATTATCAAATAATGGCTAATAAATACACTTCTCTGAATGCCGGGTATGGTGAGTTGTAGACCTTTGCCCCTGAAATGAAGTATTGAGAAACAAGATCTATTTTAAATGATTACCTGTTCCATAGCATAATTTTAGCTTACCATTTACATTCAACTTCTTGGTCCCAGGAATTTTTACTCAGTTCAGTTTGATTGTGTGTGTGTGTGTGTGTGTGTGTGTGTATGGGCATTAAGACAAAGTTGAAAATAAATAATGAGCTGATCTCTTACACAACAATGAAAGCTGTTTTATTTTGTCCCCAATTCTGATAGCTGAGAGAGTTTCATTCCAATGATAATCTTCCTGTATAATTTCTCCCAAAATAGTTATTGCCTATTTGTCATACACAGGATAATTGTGACACCATCATTAGTTGGTCTTTAAGAGTCAGCCTTTCTGGACATTGCCCTTATGTTTATGGCTGTATTCTCATTAGACCTAACACTGAGCAGAATTAGATTTGGTCAATACTTACTTAGCAGATCTTGATTATTGGATATTGGTGGGGTTGTTTTAATGACTATGTAATTCTCATCTAGGTGCTTACAGATTCAGTGCCCCAGCACCTCTTTCCTGAGAGGCCAGAAAATAAACACATTTAATGAATATATGTGCTGATGTTCAGTGATAGGGTTCAATCTAATTGTGGAAGCCCTGCATCTTATATAGGCTTGTCAATATCCTCACTACTGAAAATGCGACCTGTAGACTCCCTGAGCATCACTTGGGATCTAATTATAAATGCTCCATTCACAGTTACACAATGTGGCCCCATCTTAGATCTACTGAAACAGAATCTGCATTTTGACAAGGTATCGAGGTGAATCATATGTACATTAGGATTTGAGAAGTTTTAATGTATGTGATTTGCTTTGTAAATTTGGAGAAATAAAAGGGAGATACAGCAAAACCATGCAAACATTCATAACATCCATAATTTTCTCAAAATATATTCATTGAGTGTCTTCCATTGGGCTAGGAGTTCGGGATACAATGAAGCATAATGTAAACTCTGTAGACATGGGGATGATTGTTGTTTAGATACTTTTCTATGTGCCCAGCAGTGTACTAGGCAGTGTGGAACTGCAAAAGAAGTGTGATGCATTTTGTCAAATATTTACAAGCATTTAGTACATGTGTACAAGCTGTAGGAGCTACAAAGGATTTATAGAGGTAAAGGCCCTGCCCTCCATGTCACAATTGGAAACATGTCTGTGACAATTCAATTACACCACAAGCTTTACATAACTAAAACGATTTAGGAATAGTACAAATATAACAGTGTGATGTGAATTAGGAGTAACATTATGATTAGGAGAGGCAAAGATAATAAATACTGAAAGACCTCATTAAACTTCCTGGATGAGATTTGTGATGGCTGTTGAAAAACCCATGGGACTATTTAGGGTGGACTTCAGGAAGGAAGTATTTCCAAATGAATTGTTTAGAAAATAAAATGTTCAGGACTGGTCCCTTGGCACAGAAATTGAGTCCTGTGCCTAGGGAGCCAGATCACACATGGTCAACTGCAGTTCAAGTACTGGCCCTGGTGGCTTACAAAACATACCAGATGCAAGTGTGTGGATACCCAAAATTCCATAGGATGGAGAAATGGAGAGAAAATTATTGCAATGTGACCATGCCCCACTGAGGGGGGGGGGTGTACTTTCTTTCTTTCTCTCTCTCTTTCTCTGGTGTACATGAACACCCTCTGGCAATAAAAATAATACACATCAAAAAAAAAAAGAAAAAAAAATCAAAAACAGTAATAAAGCTAGATTTGGAAATTTGTAAGCCATCAAGTTTCTTTATAAGAATATATGCAGGGACCAGCAAATGCCATAATGGTTACATTGCTGAACTCCCACGTAGTCTACCATGGTTCAAGTTCTGGACCTGGCAGCTTAAAACTCATGCCAGGCACGTGTGCATGCATGCTCAAAATCCTGACAGGAAAATGGAGGAGAAGAGATCGCAGCATGGGGCGGGGGGAGGTCATTTTTGCTGTCTCTCTGTCTCTCATGACTCTCTGTCTCTCCAGTGAGCCCATGTGCTCAATTCAAAAAAAAAAAATCTCTCAAAAAAAAATATATGCAATTAGGTCTGTTAGAAAACACTGACATACCTATACCCAGATTGTATTTTCAAAGATCAACCTAAAGGAAGATAAAAGGAGTTCAAAATGTAAAAGAACAGAAGAGGACCAGTAGCCCACGTCTGTACATAGGCATCAGGAGGTGTGGCCCACATCCCTGTCTCAGCTGGGATGTGATGACCACCAGGCAGAGCCCTTCTCCTCTATCTATCCCAGCAGAATTTCACAGAGCCAGGGGGACGGGCTCGGTGGAGACAAGAAATCCAAGTAACGTTTATCTCATATGGTTGCTTGGAAAGTCCCACAAAGTACCTACGACAACCACCAATGCTAAATTTTCCAGGATCATTATACTTTCAAATATTTTAGCAACATGTAATATATGCTTTATACATATGTATACATAGATGTATATTTCCTCTTAATCCCTTAATCTATATTATAATTTTCTATTTCTATTGTATTCAGTGCCATTCATCTTCACTAAAACCTCTACTCAATTTCCAACATTGTTTCATTCTGTAGAATCGAATCTCTCATGGAAATCACATCTCTCATGGAAAGGTCACGCCTACCATAGAACTAAGATAAAGATATCTATGTAGCATATCTTTTCTTCTCCCCTACCCCTTCCATTTTATGTCCCAGAGAGAGTAAAGAAAATCCAAGCATAATTAAGTTAGCTTTATTTTTCCTCTAGTTCTCTTTTTATGGGACAAGAAAGTGAAATGATATTACAGCTGAACAGATGAATGACTACGTAGTAACACATCTTCATTTACTAATTTGTAAAGCAAATTTGATCTCCTACTTTAGGTTGGTCATGGTGATATATGCATGGGGTGAAAAAATTCATTTTAAATACCTTTGAAGATTCACATTCAGCGTGAAAGACAATTGCAATATAATATGACGATATCTATGACAGGGATATACAACTAGATAATTTTATCTGCTCTAAAAAAAAAAGTGCATAATCATTCAAATATAATGACTATTTCTCATTCACATTGAGCCTAAAATGGGTAACTGATCAATGGTGAGTTCTTCAAGAGTTTAGGGATCCAGGCTCCTTCCTTCTCCTAGGCTACCTAGGTCTAGTGGTTACCACCAAGAAGAAGGGGTAGTAGACACAACACTTCTGTTCACATCCCATTTGTCATGACTCTGTCATATGATCACGCTTAATTGCTAGAGAAGCTGGAAATGTAAGCATGCTCTGTGCTCGGAAAGAGGGAGAATCAAATGTCGTAATCTGTTAGCCAGATTCTTCCACAAGAGGTGAATCAAGAGTGCTGTTGGACTGTTAATCTCTGAAAGTGCATGAAGCTTTTAAAGTCCTTTCCAGGGGATGGCATGGAGATGGGGTGGAGTGGAGAGGTAGCATAGGGTCAATATCACTCAAAAAGTTGCAGAGCATACATCCTGCCATCACTCTATATTAGGCATTACCTGGAGTTAGCTGCTGTCTTCAGAGAATCTATAGCCTAGCATTCTGGATCAGCAAACTTTGCATCACCTGGGAGATTGCTGGTGACCCAGATCTACTGAATCAGCATCTGGATAATTCCTATGTACATGAAAGTTGAGAATCACTCATCAAGGATGTTCTAAAGAGTCTCTCCTCAGAGAACATTGTTCTGAGGTTCAGGGATTTGAAAGAGCCTCAAATTCCACAAGGATGCAAGCCTGCAGGCAGGAGACTGGTGAGCACGGGGAAGGGCTACCGAGGAGAAAGAAGTTGATTGGAAACCCAGGGTAGAGCTGAAAACAGTCCCGTGGAGGATTCTGGGTAGAGCCAAGGGCTTCCATATCTACAGACTCATTAATGTCCTCACAAAGATTTATGTTACACAGCTCTGTATTCTGTGATGCATGATTACTTATGTCTCCGCAAACATAAATTTATAACTAAACCTTACCACATTGAAAGTTACAAATGCTAATGGAGTTAAAGAATTAAATATGCTTTTTCTGTATATGTGGTAAGGAGGCATCCCTATCATGCAAAGCTCAGAAGTTCTGCCCCGTATATTTCATGTGTGAATTCAAATCAAAAATACAAATGCCAGACCAAGTCTCATACTTTCTAATAGATGCAGAGATGTGATTAGAATTTCTCAACCTCCCTTACACAATTACACTTATATATACACTTAAAAGCATACAAATGTAGACTGCAATTTATCCTGGCCTTACTTAGGTTAGGACTTACGAATTCGCTTGCCTTAGGAGTGTGTTATACCTCTTAATTACTTTACCAATACCTAGTTTTTCTCCTAGCCTCTCTCTTTCTCTCCTTTCTCCTCTTATCTCTTACTCCCTCTAGGAATGATCTCTTGCTTTTGTGATGCCTGGAGTGCATGACTTAGGAAATAGAATGACTGTAGACTGAGATTTTAGCAGATAGCATACCTGGTATAAGAAGAGCTGGCTTAGAATTTATAATTAGAAGCCTATTTCAGCTACCTTTTCAGGACTGTTGAAATTCCTTTCAGGGGTGTCTTGACTGCCTTGAAATCGAATGTCATTGAGGATTTTTTGCTCTCTCTTGTTTCCTTGGCAACAGGTTGGTGATGCAGCAGCTGAAATCCACTGTCTCCCTGGAGACGTTGGTGTGGGCAGGTCGCAAACTGCTGGTAATGGCTGTGATGGACACTGAACTTGACCAAATCTTTTCATTTCAGCCCTTCTAAATGCATTATACAAAGAGACCAACTTAATAGAAGGACACCTTTACAATATAATTATTGGCATGGCTATCAGTGAGGGGGAAATTCATCGTGCTTTCAAAAATAGCTTACCTTTGCACATATAAATTAATAGCCTTGAAATGTAGAAGTTTCAGGTGATTGTATACTTGAATTCAGTTTCAGAAGACTACATTAAAAAATAGTTCTCTGTTAACACAAAATCTAGAAGAAGGGCCTAAGAGGTCAGGGGTTAGGACCCTTTCCTTTGGACGTATGTCAGGCATATGGTCCTCCTTAGGCAGCCACATTCAAAAGCCACTCTCTATCCCTTGAATTTTTGGAAACAAATCATGCCTGTGATCTGCAGAGAAAACGTGGAGGGACTGTAAATGGATCTCATCTGTCCGTGCTCTCCTCCAGAAGACAGGGAATGGGAGACAACTAGAGAAGAAAGGCCAGAGGGGCTGGGAGCATCACTTTAGGGGTACATGTAAGATGGCTAGAGGGATAGACAAACAGGACTTTTGGAGCAGCAGGTGGGATGCAGGTGAACCTACTGCTGTAGATGGGGTGCCTTAGCCACTCCAGGACTGGTGAATGTGATGAACAGAGAGCAATCTGGGTAACAAAACGGTAAGGCAGTGCAACAGGTGAGCAGCAAGGTCAGAAATAGCCAAGGAACAAAGCGACAGTTGAGTTCATTTAAAAAGTGGATTTTTAGAATGAAATTAATTTAATTTGTAAGTAACTGTATCCATTTATTTGCTGAATTTATGTTGAGGAGAAAACTCAGAGAGAAAGAAAGCAAGAAAAAAATACATTTAACCTGAAAAGTATGCAAGGGAGAGAACATAGTGAGGGTGGGGGCTGGGTGGTGTCTGAGAGACTGATGGGCAAGATGGACAGGTAAACAGGAAAAGGAAAGATGAGCAAATCAGAAGGGCAAGAACTATCAAAGGAAATAGAGTGTCTACTATGAGCAATTCAACTGAGAAAAATACATGACCATGCATACTAAACATACATGATGGAATTATCATGAAGCATGCTAAGAAATGTTATTTCAAAATATGAAATTTTGCATTGTCCACCTTATAGACTATGACTATCTTGGATATATCTTAGATGACGAGTTTCTTCTAAAGTCCAAAACAATGTCCAGGTAATTAATCCCCTTCTTTTCTTCCCAGCGCTGGTTCAGTGCAGATACTGGGGAATAAATACATCAGAAAAAGACTTATTTGTATAGCATTTACTTTTTAAGAACATGCTCACTGACAACCTTTTGCTCCTTTTGACATCAGCATCACAGCCCAAATAGATCAAAACAGTTTTCCTTCACACTAAGGCCAAAATACACAATGCAGGGATATGAATAATAAAAGGAAGCCATCAGAATTTTCTCACAGATATACTTAGTAGTAATTGCAATGGCTTTGAAGTCAGGTAGCCTGGATTAAAATCTCTAATTTAGCTTTTAACGGATGACCTTGGAGGAGATAATTAATTTATGAGGTCATCAATGTTTCTATCTCTAAAATGACAATAATAATAATAATAATAATCCCTAATTAATATAGTTAGTTTTAGGACTTAAAGTAGCAAATGCATGTAAAAGCTTTCAATGCAGTTCTTGGCACTAAAGAAATCTTTGTTATTGCATTTTATGATAGTCTACATACTTGACTAATAATATAATTTTGAAACCCAAATTCAGTATTTAGTTTAACATCTGGATTGGGCAACTATATTGAATAATATGGAGTAAATGCCTCATTTCTAATTCTTCATCTGATAGTACATCCAATACAACTTTATATGTAAAACTAGGCATACTAATGCCTTTAAAATCAGTCAATTTATTAATATTCAAATGTTAGGCAGTGATAGACTTAAATTACATTTCTTCCATCCGCCCTGAGATATTTCCCTTTTAAAAATAGTATTTGAATTTACTTAATTCAGTGAATTTAAGTTATGTTAGATTTAGAGAAGCTCTACCTTTTAATCAAATGATGGTTCATTACACAGATTCACTGACAATTTTCAAATCATCATTTTAAAATGCTGCCTATGATAATTCTTTTTTCTATTTTATTCTCTATCTCACTGTTCAGTATGCTATATGGATTTTGTTGAAATGAAAAAGGAGTAGAGAAGGGAATAGAATTAAGTTCATCTTGGTCATGTATCTTTTAATGCAGAGCAGAGGGTCAGATACGTGATATAATAGGGATAAATACTCTGGGTCCCACTGGCATCAAGAGCAGGAGTAGAACTTAAGGGAAAAGCAAGATATTAAGACCAGAAGGACAAAGCAGAGTCCACAGGATAGTACACAGACCAAAAGGCAACAGAATGGGCAGCAGTTAGACGCTATGGAAAGCTAGACCCTGTTCTGAAAGGAAAGGCTAATGATAGCTTGTGAGTTAAATGGATCATAACCAGAAATCCAGGCAAGCAGTTGTGAAGAACCCAGGAGAGGAACAGGTTAGTTATTGGTTAAAGAAACCAGACAGACAAAGGACAGTAGACTAAGAATAGACTGACCAGGTTCTGGTTCTGAACTTGGTCCTGATACAGAATTCTGTCCTACCCAGGAATTTCTTAGAGATTTGGGTTGGAAAAGAAATCTGTGGTTGTGGCAGATTCAAAGAGGAGGATCAATCATCTGACTGGAAAGAAGGAAAGAAGAGTTGGCAGCTCAAGATGGATGCTGACCCAAAGCCTGTTTGATGAGCTAAATGCAGATAAATCACCGAGATCAGATGGCATCTACCCAATAACATTTAAGAAATTTGAGGCTATGACTTTGGGACTTATGTTTAAAATCGACTTCCTGTCTCTAGAAAATCATTGCTGTGAAGTAAATATTCTTTTATTTTTTCCCTCCACAAATCTCTATCTCTGAGCAAAACACCTTAAAGATCCTTAAGTCATTTAGTCATTTTCAAACTTGTATTTTTCAGTCCTAAGGAAAATTTCTGGTGGGAAGAGATGCCTGTTGACCATAATGTCAGGGAGCCAATGTGGGCCCTGTTCATATGGATATGAGGAGAGCAATGCTGAGCAAAGCCTGGAGGAGGGCACTGGTGCTACAGCTAACAGGTCCCGAGGAATACAAGGATGATGGGGAAATTAAAGGGGTGAGTTGGGACATGCGAGAGGCATGCAAGTGCAAAGCCTTTTAAATACAAGACTAAACAGTTAACCTTCCCTGGGGCTTTATTATTTATAACTTTTCTACCTCCTGTTTTGCTCCAATATGGTAAAGTTACCTTAACATCTTAAATGGCTGGAAGAGCATGTACTGTGTGGAAAAGACTCTACAAAGAAAGCTGAAGAGAAGTATAGGACTAGGCCATGATTTCAAAGGCAGAATCTCTGAATCCTCAATAGGGAGGAAATTGTGGAGTGAAAAAAAGATGGAAGGGACTAGCAGATGGTGTAATGGTGACGTCACTCCCACATAGTAGACAGCCGTTTGACTCCTGGACCCGGTGGCTTGAAACTCATGCCAAGTGTGTGTGTGTGTGTGTGTGTGTGTGTGTGTGTGTGCCCAAAAGCCTGACTGGAGGGGAAGGACTGAAGCGTGGCCATCCCCTCTGGGGGTGGTTTCTTGCTTTCCGGCTCTCCAGCAAGCCCAAACATCCTATAGCAAAAATCTCTTAAAAAAAAAAAAAAAAAAAAAAAAAAAAGAAGAAGAAGATAAAGAGTATTTAGTTTTGGGTGCCAGGAATGGTTTAATCACATGCAATTTTTTATTATGTTCTCCTATGTGTCAATTGCTTTTAGTGCAATTTAGTTCTCTGGGGCACTATATTTGACTTGAAGTCTATTCAGCAAAACTTATTGTTTTAGCATTTTTACAATATGTTTGAGCTGAAAAATCAGTTTAACTTTAAATTTACCTAAACAAATTGTAATGTTACTGTGAAATTAAATGTTAATCCAAAGAGGTATAGCTCTTTAGAAGCAGGAAACACCCTTATTCAGAGAGTAAGTTATTAAATTATTTCTAAACCTTGAAAGAGCTGAGATAGTTTTATGATTTATAAGAGAAGGAGACTTGCTCTTTTAGGGCAAATTTTTCCCTTGGTCAACAAAAAGCACCTAAATAACTCTGTAGTTCAGTTACAGAAATGCAAAGCAAATATTTATGCATTATTTTTGTCTTGTTTTATTCTTTTCTTAAAAAGCTGCTAAGGAAGGCTTCATTTGAATGCAGATGCTTCCCAGCAAAAAACCATGGGTTTAGTTTGGCAGATGTAAATTGTGATGTGATTCTGAGTCAGAGAAATATTGCTTCAAAAGGGTTACCAAAGGGCCAGACTTGGGTGGGGCTAGGGAGGGTATATTTTCCCTTTCTTCCTCTATGTATTTATACATACTCTCTCCATATATGTTTACATGTATGTGTATACACACACACACACACATATAGATGCTATACTTACTATATGTATTTTCTCTATTCTCTCTATTTGAGCTACACTGTGTCTAAATTTCTTGCTGATATTTCTGGTGAATATGCATGTATGTAAACATGTGTGTATGTATGTATGTGTGTGCATGTGTGTGTGTGTGTGTGTGTATCCTTGGGTCCTTGAATAATTGAGCTAAATATTAGAAATTGGTAAAAAGAATTACAGGTTGATGAACCAGTCAAGTGGCATGGTGGTTAAGGTAAGTGGATCCCACAAGACTGTGCAGTTCAAGTCCCAGACCTGGTGGCTTGGAAAAACACACGGGGTGTGTGTCTGTTTGTTCCCAAAAATTCCTAGAGGAGAAGTGATTGCAACATGGTCATCTTCCATAAGAGTTACCTTCTCACTTTCCCTCTTTTTCTTCCT